AAAATGGTCAAAAATGTCCAGAAGTCACCCAAATGCGCCAAAATTGTCACCGTGTTTTTTCAAAATAATGGACTTCCTGTTGGGTTTAGGACTTGGTACTGATTGACTTTTTTGTGCGACCCGACCTGCTACACATGCCCACCGAATCTTGTACGTGTAGATGTAATGGCCTTCCGACGGCACCCCGTTGAATGTGGAAAACTCCAAAAAAGTGGGCAAAATGGCCACTGATCAAAATTGGACGGGCCGCCATTTCCAAACCGGGCCTCATCTGCGGAGCGTTTTGATAACTTTTAATCATCACGTCGTGTAGTTTGCGCTGGCCAAATTTCAAGTGTGTACGACTTACCCTGTAGAGGAGGTAAATTTTGAAAATCGGCCATGAATGGCCGATTTTCATCAGCGAGCCTCCATTTTTTTCAAAATGGCCGACTTCCTGTTGTGTTTCGGGTATGTGTTCTTGAGGCTTTTTTGTGCGTCTCGAGTTGTTACATGTGTGTACCGAATTTCGTGACTCTACGTGAAAGTGTGTTCGGGGGCCCATTTTTAAAAATATTGTAGGGGGCGCTGTTGAGCCATGTTGCTATTGAGGTGAGTATTTCCCCCTAATTATGAAATTTTTCGCCGGGTCTGATGTGTGTGGTGAGTTTGGTGAGTGTGTGAGTACGTTGTGTACCTCAAAAACGCGTTTGTAACGAATAATAATAATAAAAACCCGGGTCTTCGCACCCTTTGGTGCTCGGACCCTAATTATATTTAGATGATCATGCAGTTTTAGGACAACACAAAGGAAGTGAACAGTGTTTAGCAACCACCAGGTGGAGCTGTTGGACTAATATGACACCTCTGCTCAGATGAACAGTTGAACTGTAATCTGACACCATATACTGTACTGTACTATACTATACTATATAATGTAGCATAACATAAAATAATATAATGTAGTGGAAAATAATATAATAGACGTAGATACAATTACACAACATGCTATAATCTGACACCACATACTATAATATAATATAATGTAATATAATATAATATAATATGACACCACATACCCACATACTATAACATTATACCACATATTATACCATGACATAGATACTATTACACAACATACTGTGTTATACTGTATTATACACAGACAACATATACAGAAAATGTGAAGCAGTATTTACAACCTGGGTAAAAAGATTTACATTTTTTAAATATAAAGTATGACACCACATATTCTACATGACATGAAGGTTCTTTTTTTTTTTTTTTTTTTTTTTTTTAACCAGTTTTAAATCTAGACGTTGTGATTCAGACTCCAGCCAGCAGGGGGCGGTAGACGCGCTGGTTCGCTGTTTTACAAATCGCCATTAAACCTGATCGACGAAGAAGAAGCTGGAACCGGAAGTTGACGCTGTTAGCTTCCAGCTGCTCGTAGCTTCGCTCTGCTCGGCTCGGTTCGGAACAGGTCAGCTGTGCTTTATTATAACCACTGAGGTCGTTCATAAATCTCTATCGTGCTGCTCAAGTTTCGGTGTTTTGTTAATTCTCTGGCGGCCGCTAGCTTTTAGCATGTTAGCTAACGGAGCCCGCTGTGTCTCTGGTTAGCTTCACTGTTTACTGCTGGATAAAGTTCGTCTGCTAACGTTATTAGCATTAAAGTTAACCTCAACACGACTGTCCGGTTCGGCCTCACGGTCCTGCTTGTTACGGTGACAGCTGAGGACCGTCGGCAGGAAAGAACCGGGTGTCTCGGTCGTGTTTTCGGCTGCGGCTCGGTTGATTTTGCCGCCTTCTGTCCAAGCTTCCGGCACGGTAGTTGAGGGGAAAGTTAAGGGAAACTCAACTGTAATCACGCAGCTATTTTTATATTTCCCCCACATTTTGATCACGTAAGACTGTGTAAGAGATTTCAGGTTGTCCTTTAATGTCGTGTGAAAACCACTTTGTGAAAATGCCCCCAAAAATAAATGAATGCATTGAGATTTGTTTACTTTTTGTTGTTAAGGTAAAAGTTAAGGCCAACTTAACTCACACTGTTGACAGATTCTTTGTTTTTATCACATTTTAATGATGTAAAACTGTGTCAGGCACTTTATGCTGTCTGAAACTCTCTTCCTAATTTATGAAAACATTTTTCTATCCGGCAAAATCCCCAAATAACTGATTTCACAGCTTTTTTTCCACGTCTGTACCCCATCAGAACTGGTCCAGATCCAGAACCACTACATGTAGACCGGTCAGATGTAAATTGTATCACACAAGAAAGGCTGAAGAGTCTTTAAGTCACATCTTCTACTTTCTGAAACATGTACTCTATTTGTAAAGATTAAAAAAGAATCAAAATATATATAATTTATGAACTAAAGATATTCCAAGTCAACACTTGATGCCGTCTGACATGTACAGTTTCAGCCTTTTTCCACATCTGGACCAAATCAGAACCACCATATATTCAGGTCAAATACTAATTATATTATACGAGTAGTTTTCTAAGCAGCCGTGCAGCAGTTGAATGAACATGAACTCTTAAAGCTGGTTGTGGTTTCTGCTCCAGGACATCATGAGCGACTTTCCAGACTACGAGGACGAAGCCTTCCCTCCCCTCCCGCCTCCTCTCTCCCCCGATGGGGGAGGACAGCAGGAGGACCGAGACCCGTTCACCAACGGTGAGACGCTGCCATTAAATCCACCAACATTTAAACCAGTTTAAACATTAAATCAGACAGAATTGATGTGATGGTGGAGACGTGACATAAATCATCTGCAGATGACGATGAAGAGTTTTTATTTAAGCCTTTCTGTTGTTTTTTATATAGAAGAAGAAGAAGGTGACGTTTCCAAACTGGCTGAAGTTCCTGCTGCTAAAAGAAAAGGAGTGAAGAGGCCTCAGCCGAAGCTCGACTCTCAGAGGTCCGTCAGAGGGTTTAGATGACGTTTAGAACACAGACACTGATCAGAGCCTGAAGCTTTACAGTTTGTGTCGCCTCAGATCTCTTTACACTGAAGCTGGAGCAGGTCATCGGTTCATCTGTTGGATTCATCAGCAGCTGCTTGGTGATCAGTTAAAAGTCTAAAGTCTGTCATTGCAGCTTCTTAAATGTGGATATTTTCTGGTTTATTGGCTCCTCCGTCACAGGAAGCTGAATATTTTTGGGTTTTGAGGATTAGCGACCAAACGACCGATGTGTTCGTTTAGAAGATAATCGACAGTGAATGTAATCGTTAGTCACAGCTCCAGTTCACACGGGCAGCTTCAGATTAGTTTATTGGACTTTTTTACTGTGAAAGGTTTCTCTGTAAACCATTTCCTAACATATTCCTAACGCTGCATGTCTTTCCTCAGGCTGACTTCAGAACGAGGACTTCCTGCTCTGAGAACGCTGTTTGAAAACGTCCACTTTAAAGGCAAAGGACACGAGGTAGGAGCTCAGACACACCTGGACCCGTCCACATCAGCAGCTCGTCTCTTTAAGCCAGATTTATGTTTTTCTGTTGTGGTCACTTCACTCTTTGTGCTGCTGCTGTAACAACAGATCGATCCAGTGTTTCTCTTATGTTCTGTTCGTCTCTCCTTCACAGTTTAATCTCGTTTAATCCACTGAAACTTAACAAACACTCCTCTGTTTGTGCTCTTGGGTGTGTTCAGGTGGAGGATCTGCGGCTGCTGATGCAGAAGATGGAGAACTGGGCTCACCGCTTGTACCCCAAGCTGCAGTTTGAAGATTTCATCGACAAAGTGGAAAAACTGGGCAGCAAGAAAGAAGTTCAGGTTGGACGGAGCTGCTGAGTGTTTCCACGATGCGTTCAGGGACCTGCAGTGGTGGTTTTTTTTACAGTGTTTGTCTGTTTTTTTCCTGCAGACTTGTCTGAAACGGATTCGACTGGACATGCCGCTGACGCACGAGGACTTCACAGGTAAAGCTGTTGATTAATCACTGGGGACGTTTAAGGCATGAAAATAACGAAAATGTTCATCTTTGACACGTTGATGAGGTACGACATGTCCACGGCATGAAGATAGAAGTAAAGATGAGTGATGTAAAGGGTGTTAAAGCAGGAGAACAGCTGATTTAACGTGTGCTAAGTGCAGATAAAACACTGGATTTACTCTGATCCGTTAGTTCCTGTGAGGTGGTTTAATGGATAAAACACCAAATCAGCAGCAGGAAATGTGGAAGACACGCAGCCACATAACAATAATAATAATAGTTGGACGTCACATCGGTGTAGGCTGACTTTATTCTGAAAATCCGTGTGGGTGTAGGTGAGGAGGAGGCTCCACCTGAGCTGCAGGTGTTCGGGGATCCTGACCCGTTCAGCAGCAGCTTCGTTAACGACGTCCAGGATCCGGTCAGCTCCACTCCGGCTCCTGTGGCCCCTTCAGGACCCTCCGGACCTTCAGGACCGCCGACTCTGACCGAGGAGCAGCTCAGACGGATGGAGCTGAACAGGAAGTTGGCTCTGGAGAGGAAGCTGGCCCGACAGCAGCAGCAGACGGGTGAGAGTCGGAGGAACGTCTTCACACAAATAAAATGATCAGAGAACCGATGCAGCCGCTCACTGAAACATTCATCACAAGACTTTTTATTCTATTTTAAAATGTACAGACTTGATTAAAAAAACATTCAAACTCAGTTACAAAAGCAAGAATAATCCTTTATATCCTGTTAAATCACTCAATCTATCGCCACTTATTTTACTAATGGACTCATAAGTCTGAGTTATTTTTAAATAAACAACAATAATAATAATAATAATTAGTGGAATGAGAGGAAAAAACAGCCTTTGATGATAAGAATCGTAGAATTCTACACAAACCAGTATTTAAATTAATGTATAATAATTAGTCAATAACTCACATTCAGATCATTATTTCATGTTTTAAATGTAAATAACGTATCGTCGGTCTAAATCTGCACAATTTAGTGTTTAAATCATCGACTTTCTTGATGTTTTGGGGATTTAAATGTTCCATAAATCAGCCTGTGTAGATCTATATAGATATATAGATATAAGAACCAAACCTTCAGACTATAGACGAGACCAAACCTGCAGTCTGGTTCTGGTGCTGCAGCCATCCATCAGGTTATCGATCAGCTGTCATCAATCACCAAATGTTGTTATAATAACAGTCTGCTGATTCTGTGACTTCAGCCTTTAAGACGTGATTATTTTCTGGTTTCTTTCCTCCTTCAAGACACTAAACTGAATTAATCTTTATAAATGAAGACATCTTTCACCGTTTTGTGACATTTTAGAAACCAAACAATTAATTGATCAGTTGAGAAAGTGATCAACAGTAAAGATGATCATTAGTTGCAGCTCTAATCAGAATATTTCCATCTCGGTTGCTGTGATTCTGTATTTAGCTGCACTTCGTCGTTTCATTAAACTTTTTATGACCTCAAAGTTGTTTACACAAAGACTGAAAAGCTCATTGTCACCAGACGCCTGCTTGTTGAGTTTTTAGTCGTCTTTGCTTTAATAAAAACTAACTTGGAGGATGAACCATGACAGCTAATGTTTGTATGTTTCAGGAACAACTTTAATAAAGAGACAGAAAATGTGTTTTTATGGTCCAGACTTCTTAAATCTTTGGTAAACGTGACGATGAACTGAATATTACGGATTATTTTTCCACTGCTGGTGAATTCTGATCATTTACAGACAGAATAACTGAAATACTTTGCAGCTGGTAAACTGTCAGATGTGATCCTTTGCTGATTGAAACAGAAGTCTGAGGTTGGTGCAGCCTCTCGTCTCTTATTTCTCTTCACTTGTTTGTTCTTCAGACTCTCACACTGTCGATACGTCTTCACTGGAGATTGAACCCACGTCAGCTTCTTCTGCCAACGTCCTCAGCGGCTCCACTGATCCGGATGAGAAGACGGAGGAGCTGCAGCCGGCCGACGGCGACAAACAACAAGAACCAGAACAACAAGCAGAACAAGAACAGTCCAGCCAACCTCCAGACACAGACTCTGAGCCTCCTGCTGAACCTTCTCAGGCCGAACTAGAACCCAAACGTGAGCTTCAGGCGAACGTCGAGCTCCAGGAGGAGGATTGAGACTCTGGTGAGAAGCTTGGACGCTGAGCTTCACCTGGATGAAGATCACCTTTATATTCAAATCTCCTGTCGTCACCACCGCTGGTTCACGGCTAATCGAACTCTGACTCCACGTTCTGGTGCAGAACCTGTTGTTCACTTGTAAACCGTTCCTGTGAGTTTCTCATCGTAGCGTTTTGTTAGCCGACAGCGTTACTGATACGTGGACCAACAGAATCACTGCCTCAAAAGATTCCAGCTCGTCTTTTAAGTGACGTTGGAGGTCCTGGACCTCCTCAGAGTCTCTGTCATGGTCCCGTTGCCGCTAAACTCCCACAATGCTCTCTGCTGCCACCATGAGCTGCCTGTAGTCACGGCAACCGCCTCCACCGACGATGCGTTTTCACATGCACGACCTTCTTCTACTGCCGTGTTGTTGAATGTTTTCTTTAGTTTTTACAGCAATTATTTGACAAACATTAATACCACTAATTTAATCCAACAAAAGGTCCAAATTACGAAGACATTCAGCCTAAAAAAGCAGCGAATGTTGACATTTTAACAAGCTGTGTTTACATAAAGGTCAGCTGGATTCATAGCGTTCAACTAACCCATCCATCCCGCTCTAGAATTCAGCCTCTCAGGTTTCACAGTCGGCAGAAGTTTGGTTGGTTTTCAAAATTTCAGCGCCTAAACTTATACGTTCAACCTGCAGAGTGGAACTCTGACTCCCCCTTGTGGCAATAAGAGTCACTACACCTCCACGTCTTTCTATTTTAGACTGTAAACGTTCATCTGAAGTTTCTGCATCTGCGTTAAACCCCAGATTTACCTCCTTTAGTCGGCATCGTTGAACACAGCAGACGTTCTGTTCGCTCTGCAGATTCAACGTGACGAATCAGAAACAAGTTTGTGCCTTAAAGTGAATCACGACGGTCGGTTTCAGTTCTGCAGCCTGAAGCAAAGAAACGTCGGTAAAACTGACTTTAAATGTTTTAATTGATGAACCAGAGAAATGTCCAAACTGTGTTTCTTACAAAATGTCCAACAATAAAAAACAATCCTTGCAAACAGAACTTCTCGACAGTCTTTTCATTGACACACTTTAAGATGGTCAGAAAAGCACAATTTTATCTGTAATTTACAACCAGGCAGCATCGTTACTGAGCTCGTTACTGAAATACATTCGCGTCTAACACTTAAAATGAAGAAACCGGTTCAGATTAGCCACAATCTTGAGCTTGATTTTACACAATTAAAGACTTTAAACTATAAATTAATGCAGAAAAGGCACAAATTCATAATTTAATGTTGATAAAAATTCACCAAAATGCAAGAAATTAATGTTTTGATGCTCAAACTTCTGAATTTCTGAAATCAGCTGCTACAACTAGAACCCGCTCAGAACAGACCTTCATCGTTCAGTTCTAAAGAAAGTCCAGTTGAAATGTTCTGACTGTGTTTAGGCTCCACATCTACAGTAAGTTTCATGAATTTCATCTGGTTGGTTTTTGTGGATCTTTCTGTTAACGAGCAGCTTTAAAAGTGAACTGGATTAAAACAGAACCTGGTTCAGGTTCATGTCAGTGTTTGCTTCCCTGAGGCGTCACACGTGTCCGTCCCGTGTTCTGGACTCGTCTCTTATGCTGTCGTCATGCAGAGCTGAGCGAGCCGGTCCGGGTCCATCAGCGCCAGCTCCCTCACCTCCTCCAGCAGCGAGTACAGGTTGGGGGTTCTGCTCTGGCTGAACTCGCGCTCCTCCCTGGACAGCCTGGGCCGGGCCTCCCTCTGCTGGGCCTCCTCGGCCAGCCGGACCACCTCCTGCACCAGCTGGCCTCGGCCCCGACCCGGGCCGTCCTGCTGGGCCTCAGCACTGTGATGAGGCCGGTTCTGGAGCAGCTCCAGGTTCAGGGTGTCGGCGTGGCAGCTGGTGGAGTGGACCGAGATCCGAACCTGCAGACAGGACACAGGCGGTCCTCAGCTTTAACCAGATGACTGTTATTTATCAGAACATTTAGAACAACAGCTGTTTACAGGAAGATAAACGACATAATCAGCGTCACTAATTAATCCGTCAGGTGTAAACACGGCGGTTAGATGTTAAATCCTGTCTCAGTAACTCAACACTGCTCAACTAGAGAGACGTTTTAATGAAGGATGTCCTCATTAAGGCACAAAAACAACAAGAACTAACAAACAAACTCCATCAGAACATCCCTGATGGTGTACGTTACCTTTAATATAATTATAATTAAAACAACTTCTGCTCCATGAGCCTCAACTCAGCCTCATTACATCTACTTTAGCTCTAACAATAAAACCTGAGAGCTCCCTGACAGGTGAGTGTTTCTACCTGAAGCAGGTCATGTGATCAGAGTTCACTCACGGTGATGTGGTCGAACAGCCTGAAGGTGGCGCTGCCGCCGGCGGAGGAGACGGTGATCTGGTCCTGGTGCCGCCGTACGGAGCCGCTCTGCCAATCACAGCCGCCGTCTGGCCCCGGCGCCGCCACCTGGCCCTCCCTGTTCCTCAGGTAGACCGGGCCCTTCAGCCCGTACCTGAGGAGGACACACCTGAGCTCAGAGCTGCTGCTTCCTTCAGTCATCATTTAAATCAAACCTGTGACTTTACTGCAAACATGACTTCATGTCAAACATTTATTCAACCGTCACCAGTCTGGGTTTAACAAAATAAAAGCTTTTATTGTGAAGCTCAGGAATGAACTTCTGTTTTTTCTGCCCACTCTGCATGATCACAAAGATGAACAACAACGGTAAATACATAATAAATACATTGATCAGCCTTTTCCAGAAGTTTGTCTGTATTTTGCTCGTCCTCAGTCCCTCCACTGACACGTTCAGATTAAAGAACTAAACCAGGTTTTGTTGAACGTGTTCATAAATCTGTTTTGCAATTGAACAGCTGTTGAGACGTTTGATTAAACCAAACAGCTCGAGAACTTAGAAGGACTTGGACGAGGTGATTTGCAGCTAATAAAATGGAGCCAATTTAAGACTAACAGAGACTAAAACATACAGTAAAGACAGTTAATTATCAGCTGTATTTATAATGAGAGCTCTGAGTCAGTCCTCATTAGATTAAACAGAACTCATCAGATGTGTTGCTCTTATTCTGCTTAAAGTTCACTTCTTTCTTATTTCAGACCCAAAGTTAAGTTTTACAAAATAATTTGGCTGAATTTTAAGAATTTTATGTTTTCAGACCAGGAAGTTTTTCTACATTCACTCTGAGAAGCTCAAACGTTTCCTGAAGATTCAAGTTTTTCACATTAAAGTATTCTAATTTTGAGTTTTGTGTTATTGTGGATCAGAAACGGCACCAGTTGGTTCTGTTAAGCTGCTCAAAGATGGAACTTTTCATGACGGCTTACATTTATTTTCATATTTTAACTCATCTGTGATCAACATTTATTTGATCAACTTGTCCAATATGACAGATTCTGAATCGATGTCATGATGAGAAACAGAACATTTCAGGTTTTATCTAGTTCCTCAGATGTTGTTGTTCAAACGGCTGAAAGTGGGTCGATCTCTGAACTATTTGATAAATGAAGCTAAAGTTCCACAGAAACCGTTTTAAGTTCCCACAGTTTGTTCTTCTTGTGGACACCAAGCTGACCGTCAGCTTTGTGTGACTGAGTTTGTTGGGTTTAGCGGATCCAGACGATAAAAGGATCCTGCGTCGGACCGGCTCGGTTCTTACTCTGGGACGAACACCAGCACGCCGTTGTCTCGGATGGCGTAGACGACGGCGTCGGCAACGCAGCGAGGGTCCGTCTGAGGGTCTTTCTCTTTGAAGTAGAGACACTGGAACAGAGCCGTGGACAAGTTCTGGGCTCTCTGGGCCGCCTGCAAACACACCACAGTCCAGCTCTCATCAGACTGTCATCACACAGCACCTCTGGTTGGACAGGAAGGCGACGAAAACCCTCCGTCTGAAGCAGAAATATGCTCCTAAATATGTCATATATGTTCTTCTAAGCATCGTCCTACATGTCGTGTCTCGGTACCGTTTCTGTCTGGGTCGTGTGGTTCATCAGAGGGTTCTGGATTCTCACCCTGTTCCTGTTGTTGATGTGGTGCGCCGTCTCCTCCACTTCCTTGTTGTTGGCCGGCGCTTTAGACTCCGCCCCCGCGTCCACGGCGATGGCGGCAGTCAGGAGGCGGTGCACGATGATGTCGGCGTAGCGACGGATCGGAGAGGTGAAGTGAGTGTAGCGGTCCAGAGCCAGACCTGAAGGACAGACAGAACCAGGACAGGTGGACTCTTTACTGGTTATTTGGATTTAAATCCCAGCAGCTGGAACCAGAACGTTAAAGAGACGTTTACTGTCTGATTCTTTTCACAACAAACGATTTTTCTCATTTATCTTGTCTGTGGGTGAGAAAAGTTAGCTTAGCATCGGAGTAAACAGGTGGTCACCGTGTTATCTGGCACAATAAGGAGTTTAATACTGCAGTGACCAGAGGAGGTAAGTGGCCTTAACCAGTAAGAGAAACCACTGGGTTGTAGGAACAACGTCCTAACTGACTGAAACACCATTTCATCCTCGTGCCGGAAGTCATAAAGCCTCACAGAAGTCTTTGTCATGGTTCTGCTTAACTCACTAAACTCCCAGAATGCTGTCTGCTTGCCAACATAGGACTGATCACTCAGGTGTTCGAGGTTTTTATGGGGGTTCTTTTCACCTCAAACTATACATAGTTTTCTCCTTTATTTTGTCCGTGGGCCAGAAAAGTTAGCTTAGCATCGGTGTAAACAAGTGGTCGCCATGTTATCTGACAGGAGATTAAAGCTACTCACCTCCTCTGGTTTCTACATTAATAAACAGTTACGCGGCTCCACCTGCTGGAACAACCAGGTACTACATCTAACACTTGAAGTGTGTATTGACTAGAAAAGTGTTATCTGGTATCGTAAGATGCTAAAAAATCATTTTGACCAATCACACGCGAGATGATTCCAGCGTTAGATCCGGTCCCATGCAGCAGCACAGACTAAGCCCGGTAGAGCTGGAGGACGGGTGTGATCTGGTTTACCGTAATGGTAGTACTGGTCCTGAGGCTGGGCACCAGTGGAGAAGTAGACGGCCTGGGACATGGCCTGGGTGGCCATCATCCTGAGCAGCCGGTTCACCAGCGGGTCCTCGAGGTCCACGGCTCGGTCCAGAGAGTCGGCCAAAGCCTTGTTGGTCCTGGAGGAGAAACTCTTTTTGGTCAAATCAAGTGAAAATGATGATCGAGTCTTTCTGTTTATTCAGTTTCTGGCTGATAAATTGCGTCATTCTGGCATTTTTGTTAAACGAAACATTTCTTTTCGATCCTAGCAGCAGGTTTTGGGGTTCAGAAGCAGACAGAACCTCCTGATGTCCGTCTCATGTACCTGGTATCGACGGTGAAGCCTCGGGCCTCGGCGGTGTCCACCAGCTGGCTGAACAGCTCCTGTCGAGGCGGCGGGTGTCGCCTCAGCAGGGCCTGATACGGGAACGTTTCCTGGATCTTGCGCGCCACCCAGTGGTTGGCGTAGATCATACACTCAGCCACCGTCTCATGGACCTCCAGCGGCTGACGAGGAACCAGAGCGGTGATGTTTCTGTCCTCGTCCAGCTGAGCACGAACCTGAAGAGGGGAGACGGTAGAAACACACCCGGGCCATTAAATACTACACATCTGTTAAAGGTTCCCCCCAGAACCTCCTCAGAACATCTGGTTCTGTATCTGCAGTAACAGAGGTCCAGGTCGTTGAAGTCCACAGAGGAGGGTCCAGATTGATCACTTTAATGGACTTTTTCCATCATTTCTGAGCCTCAGAACTTCATCAGTACAGCAGATAGACACATGACATTTAGGAGGAAGAACACATCTGGGTTCTGCTAGAACCTGACACCAGATCAGTTTGGGTCAGAACCAGTTCCAGCAGATCAGAGGTCTCAGTGTTTCTCCTACATTCTGATAAGAGGCTCATCTTCTGGCTACGATTCCTTTTCTCTGGTTTACAGTCATTCTGTTCAAGTTTCAAGACATTTTAAATTGTTCAGGACCAGTTCTGAGTGATTCTGGAGAAGTTTCAGTTTGTTTATCAGCAAGTTCTGAATTGTTCTGGATGGATTTTGAGGCCTTTTGGGGAAATTTTAGTCATTTTGAACACATTTTGGGTCATTTGGGACGAGTTTTGAGGCGCATTGGGTCATTTTAGAGAAGTTTAAGATATTTTGGATCAAGTTTTGAATCGTTTAGGACAGTGTTGGGGTCTTTTTGAAGAGGTTTTTGTCATTATGAACAAATGTGAAGTGATTCAGGTCAAGTTTCAAGACATTTTGGATCTTTTTTTTTTGGACACCAAAACCCAGATGTGTTCTTCCTCCTACATGTCATGTGTCTATCTGCTGCACTGATGAAGTTCTGAGGCTCAGAAATGATGGAAAAAGTCCATTAAAGTGATCAATCTGGACCCTCCTCTGTGGACTTCAAGGACCTGGACCTCTGGAACATTCACAGTCTGAAGGTAGAACTCTGGTCAGTAGATGAAGGTGCTGCAGATACAGAACCAGATGTTCTGAGGAGGTTCTGGGGAGAAGAAGTCGTGCTACAAACCCTCACTTCAGCACCAAAAGCAGATTAATCCGCCACTGAAACTCGTCCTCACCAGTTTCCCGACACTTCCCTTCAATCTAACTGTATGTTTGTGGCGTTTTCAAAGATTTACATCTTCAGCAGGATCCAGAGAACACCGAGCGCCGATCCGTCGTCAGCAGGAGGAACAGAAAACGAGCGGCGGATGCATCCTCAGAGGTCGTTACTGCAGCTCTGTCGCCGATTCGCTCCGACAGACTCGTCCTCCATCACAACAAACACGTTAAACATTTAGTTTTCCCATCGCAGCTTCTTCGTGAGCTGATCTGGTTACAGCTGCACAGACTCGCAGCAGGTTTAATAAATAACGCTCACTTTTTTTAGCACAGAGCCCGACTTGGAGCTCCTCGACGACATGTGCTGTATTACACCAGTATATCTGAATAACAGACATCTTATTAGGGAGCAGCTTATAGATGAACAACGCCGGAGCTCGTATGAGGTTTTGACAGATGGCCAGCCAACCGGCGAAAATGAAAACTGTCAGCAGGTTCTGTGTTTATACAACCTGTATTCCAATATTCCCGCTGAAATTACTTTCTGATCTGGTGCGGGATAAAACCGCGGAGGGAAGACGTTCGGCTCGGCTGCCCGGATTTAAAAACACCTGCATTCTATTAGTCAATACAATCAGTCATCGGTTTACCGGGTCCTCTTTGTTTTACGCCTCCTGAGACGACTGGAAGTGGAAAATACAAAAATAAACTTGTTTTCTAAAAATGTGGCCAAACGTACGTGTTGGACGAGTCGTTGTAGGAGTTACCTGTAATCAGAGTTTAACAGGTAACTGAGGCTCTAGCGGCTGATAAGAGTCTAAATAAGATGTAAAAATAATTAAAGTCTGTGTTAATGGGGTGTTACTGTCCTGTAAGGGTTTCAGTGAGGGACCAGAAGTTTACATCCACCGTAAAAAAAGACATAAAACCTTTTTTCTCTCACAGTCTGACATCAAATCAGACCAAACTTTTCCTGTTTCAGCTCAGTCAGGATCAACAACATTAGTTCTATTTGATAAACACCAGAACAATGAGAGAGAGAATGTTTATGACTTTCTTCAAAGTCAGACGTTTACATCCACTAAGATGCCTTCAGACTATTTGGGAAAGCCCAGATGATGATGTCATGGCTTTGGAAGCTTCTGATTGGTTAATTGACAACATGTGAGTTAATTGGAGGCACACCTGTGGATGTATTTTAAGGCACACCTCAAACACGCTGCTTCCTTTGGTGACAACATGGAACATCTAAAAACATCAGCCAAGATATCAGGAAGAGAACTGTGGACCTCAGCAGAAACACTTGAACAGAACCAGAGAAGAAGGACCAGTGGACCTACCTCCACCCCCTCCAGCTCCAGAGCTCCTCCTCGGTCCCGCTGAGCTCTCAGGTGTCGGGCCACATGGGTGAGCAGCTCCAGAGCCTGTGTGAGTTCTGCCAGCCTGGCGTCCTTCTCCTCTGAGCCGAGCTCGGCCAGCTCCGGGACGTCGGCCGGGTCGCCGTTGAGCAGCGCCTGGGCGAGCTCGTAGTGCAGCTGGTAGGAGGAGCGGATCAGCGTGCGGCCGAACCACACCTTGTTGACGGCCAGAGTCCGGGCGTCCAGCTCCCACATGACGCTCATGGCGTACCTGAGAGAACAGATCGGTGAGTTCAGGTGCGTCAGAACGAGCGTTAACGACGTGGAGACACGTGAGGACCACCGACCTGTCGACTCCCCCCAGCAGCGAGCACAGGTCCGCACTGAGGACCGCGGGCAGCATGTCGTAGCGCCGGTCGGCCAGGTAGTAGGTGGTCGCCCTGGCAACACGGGAGACAACAGCAGCATCTCGTTTCAATGAAGGAGCCACGGTTTAAAACAGGCGTCCAGCTAAACATTCAGTCTGGTCTCTGCGTCACTTCATCACCTTCCTCATGAAGACAAACGGCACATTTATCAGGTTCTGGTGAATTCTGAAGCTTTGACCACGTGGTGTTTATTTTACTGCGTTTGGTGTCTTTGCGTCCAGAAATCCTCCTTCCTGTCTGCACGCTGAAGGTTTTTACGGAGCTGCTTGTTCATCCATCATCCACAGCCTGACTTATGGAACTTTTCATTGCTCAAAACACAGTAAAAGATGTTTTATTTTCCTGCCTCTGGTCGACGGTATTCTCTGATTTATGGAACGATAAAAACAGATCAACAAAGTCCTCTCTGTAGAAACAAACGCTGAAGCTGGTTTTATCCAGAGGTCTGTGTTTCTGTTCTAGATATCGATGCGAATCCAGTGTTCAGACGGAGACACCTGGATGGACGTAGAACTGATCAGTAGGTCAATTTGAATCCTTTATTTTATTGTTTTGTGTCTGGTTTTTGTTGTTTTGTTCTCTTCTTTGTCATTTTTTTGTCTCCCTTTTGTAATTTTGCGTCTGTTTAGTTTTGTTTTGTGTATCTCTGGGACAGTTTTTTCTGGTTGTGGTCATTTTGTTGATCATTTTGTCATTTTGCGTCTCTCTTTTCCTGTTGTGAGTCAGATTTTGGGCATTTTGTGTCTCACTTGTCTCGTTCTGTGTGATTTTGTCACTTGTTTCTGTTGTTTCGGGTTGTTTTGTGTCTGTTTTTTGTCATGTAGTGATGTTTTGATAGTTTTACGTCTCCATGGGGCATGAAACTACGATACATCCCATAATAATGATGCTCAAAGTTGGTTATAGAGAAAACAAACAGAAACCAGGTCCAGTGTTCAGACTGAGACACCTGGATGGATGTAGAACTGATCTGGTGTCAGGTTCTAGCAGAACCCAGATGTGTTCTTCCTCCTAAATGTCATGTGTCTATCTGCTGGACTGATGAAGTTCTGAGGCTCAGAAATGATGGAAAAAGTCCATTAAAGTGATCAATCTGGACCCTCCTCTGTGGACTTGAAGGACCTGGACCTCTGGAACATTCACAGTCTGAAGGTAGAACTCTGGTCAGTAGATAAAGGTGCTGCAGATCGAGTCAATTGTCAGATTTGGTTGATTTTAAATGGACTGACACAAATATTCAGTCACAAATCCAACCTCTGCTCCACCACAGCCTGTCTGCTCCGGGTTAACTCATCTGTAGATGTCACTAATCTGGTTTTAAACTTGTCCTGACCACCTACACTCTGCCGCCTCACCTCGTCCGAGCCTCCAGGTCCGTGAGCGAACCTTCAGCCACGAAGTGCGTGACGTCGGCGATGTGGACGCCGAGCTCCAGCAGCTCCCCGCCGGCGAGGCGTCGCACCGACAGCGTGTCGTCGACGTCCTCGCAGCCCCGCGGGTCGATGCTGAACACCAGGTGAGTGTCCCGGAGGTCCCGCCGCCGCCCCGCCTGCTCCGAGTCCACCGTCCACGGCTTCTCGGGAGAGTTCACCGGCATCTCCCTCAGCTGACGGCAGACAAAGGAGGTTACACGAGGACCTGAACGTCTCACGAAGCAGCCGAGCAGCGCTGGACCGTGAATAATTGAATTAGTTTGTGCTCTGAGCTGAGAGGAGGCCGTCAGACGGTTTGTGCTGCGCTGAGCTTCTTCACCGGAGGCCATTATTTACTAAACAAACTGAGCAATATGAATGTGAATGGAAAGATAAGCTCATTTAACCCCTTGAAGTCCTTGGACTGCCGTATGAAAACAGGCAGGAGATAAAAAGAAGATCCAACGAGGTTATCCTGTTGTTGTGAGTTCAGGACACTGAGCACTCACCGGGTCCTTTACAGAGAAGGACGACCAGGAACTCATGAACTCAGCCCTGAGAAGCTGTGTTCAGAGGAAAACCAAAGTCCACGAGTGGTTTGAAGCAAATTCACTTCAAAGAGCTCATTTTCTTTCTCTATAATTCCATATTTTTGGTCTATTTGAATACGTTTACATGCTTTAAAGTTAGATACCACATCATTGTGAACCACTGGGTTACTGATTAGTTCCCTCAATCTGTCCTTCAGAAAGCTCCTCATGCAGGATTACTGCAGATAAACAGGAAATGTGGAGGAGGCGCTGCCTTAAAGACTGAAAACAGGGCACAAAGTACCACAACACAAGGGAGATTAATGCTTCACTAAAAGAGTTTTCAAACTGCAGAGTTCATCTTCTGCACATCCACAGGTTTATAGTTGTGTTTGTGGCCTCTACTAGAATCTGTTGACCCGTTTAAATGCTCACAAACACATTATTTTCCTCATACTGTACGTCGCTGCAGCTCTTCTCAGTTTTATCGTCTCCAAAATTACAAGATTTGTCGATAATGACCTACGTTTTGTCCAAAATGACAAAAAAATTACAAACGGTTTGTACAAAAAAACCTCTAGTTGCCTAAATGACTGAGAAATTGTTCAAAATTAGCAGAAATTTGTCATACATGGCGCGAAAATCCCCCCAAGTTAGTTAAACTTGGTCTAAATCACTCAAAATCCGTCCATAATGACTAAAAATTGTCTAGAAATGAATGGAAATTTGTCAAAAATCACAAAGAGGTCAAAAATTACTTACAATTTGTCCAGAATGCCGTAAAGTTCTCCAAAATAACTTAAAACTTATCTAAAAATCACTCAAAACTAGTCCAGAATGACGAAATATTTTCAATAATGCCCCAAAAACGTGTTTGAAATGAATGAAAACCTGTCAAAAAAAAAAAACAAGAAAGGTCCAAAATCACTCAGAATTTGTCCAGAATGCCGCAAAGTTCTCCAAAATAACTTAATATTTCTCTAAAATGACTCAGAAAATGTCCAGAATGACTTCAAGTTTGAACTAAATTTACCCAGAATGACTAAAGATTTGCTTAAACGACTTAAAACCTGTCAGGATTCACAACATCTGTCCAGAATGATTCAAAAACAGTTCAGAAATGACTCAAACTCAACTTTAACTTGCAGAGAAAAGCAGCTCTACACAGCGCTGAAGGAAACTACGGGCTCTTTGTATTTTAACATCACTTCATTAAGCTGCTGAAGAAAACAGAACCTCGAACGACCAACAGCTGAAGTGTCGGTTCTGACCTGAGCGTCCGAGAACGGAGGGACGTGGATGCAGTTCTCCATCAGGATGGTCTGGACCTCCGTCTCCAGCTCCCCGGCTCGGCCCAGGACCCGGACGCTGTGTCCGTTGGGATACAGCGAGGTGCTCTCCCAGGAGTCGATGCGGACCACCACCCTGTGGTCCTGGACGCGGGTCAGACCAGAAACACTTTAAAACACCATGACTCTGTCAGCTTCAGCTCTGCAGAAACACCTGGATAAACTCTCCTTCAGCACATTTTTCACACATGAACCATCAGCGGAGGGATTTACTGCACGTCTGGTTTGTTTCTTAAACGTCTCTTCATCACACACAACATGTCAGAAAGGAATCAAGCCTCACATTCAGCCACTAAAATAATGTTTCTGATCAGGAACGCAAGTGAATAATTATAATCTGACATCTTAATCAAGAAATAATGATGTGTTTTACTATTGTTTACATTTTTCTGTAAAACAATAAACCAGAATATTCATATTTTACTTAAAACTGGTCTAAAATCACTTAAAATCCGTCCATCAGGACTAAAAACTGTCTAGAAATGAACAGAAATGTGTCGAAAATGACGAAAAGGTCCAAAAGAACTCAGAATTTGTGCAGAATGCCTGAAAACTTCTCCAAAACAACTTAATATTCACTCAAAAATAAAACAAACCAGAGCCCATTATTGACTGAGGGTCAAATGATGCGTTCAAGGTCTGTCAGAAAATTGAAAACCTGACAATTCTTTCTGTTTTTACACTTTCTGGCTGATAAACAGTTTACTTCTGGTGATTTTCTAACAGAGACGCATCCTTTTAAACCCCCCAGCTTGTCTTTGAGCTCAGAGTTTAGTGAGTAAACAGGAATCGGACCTGCAGGGCGTCGGCCTGCTGAGTGCTGATGCGGATCTTGGGGATGCGGCGGTCCCACGGGATGGCCAGGATCCGCTGAGAGTTCCTGCTCTGAGACTGAGTCCCGTCTCTGGTGGGGAACGTGACCACGTAGTCCCTCCAGTTCCTCTGCAGGACGCCCACCACACGGCCTGGAGGCGACCAGACGTCAGTCAGGACAGAGACAACATCTGGAACATCAACACTGACCCAACATCTGTTCAGAATTAATCAGAATCTGACAGAATTACTCAATATGTGAAAAAAGACTGAACTTTACTAAACTGACTTCTGTCCAAAATGACATAAACTTGGTTCAAAATAACTCAACATTTACCTAAAACTAGAAAAACGCGATCAAACAGACTCAAATGTGTCCATAATCACTCAGTATTGACTGAATATTACGCAAAAAATGGTCAAAATGAGCCAAAAAAAATGATCAGTGATTCAAACTTTGTCCAACATTACTTTTTTTTTTTTTTTTAAAGTGACTCAGTATTCATTCAAAATGACTAAGAATTCGTCCAAAACTACAAAAATGTGCTCAAACAGTCTCAAAGTTTGTCCAGAATTACTCACTATTTGGTCAAAACAACTCAAAATTGTTGAAAATGAACCAGAATGTCAAAAATGACAACAACAAAAAATGATCAAACAGACTCAAAATTTGTCTGAAACTACAAAAACATGGTCAAACAGATTCAAAATTTCTCCACAATTACTCAATATTTGGTCAAAATTACTCACAATGGTGAAAAATGACCCAGAATGTCAAAAAAAAAACAATCAAAATCACTCCAACTTTGTGTAAAATTACAAAAAAAAAGATAAAACAGACCAAAATGTTCCCCAAATGACTTGTTGTTAGTCCCAAAAATGACAAAAACTTGATCAAAATGACTCAAAATTTGTCCAGAATTTCCCACTATTTGGTCAAAACAACTCAAAATTGTTGAAAATGAACCAGAATGTCAAAAATGACAACAAGAAAGTGATCAAAATGACTCGAAATTTATCTGAAATTACAAAAATGTGATCAAACAGACTCAGTTTTGCCCCTAATGACTTGTTATTGGTCCAAAACGGCTCAAAATTGTTTAAAATGACTCAAAATGTCAAAAACGTGATCAAACTGAGTCACTATTTATTCAACATGACTCGCTATTTGTGCAAAATGACTTCTACTTCTAAATGACTAAATCAGTCCAGAGCGACTTGAAGCCCGTCCTGAGCGGTGCTGTGTCGTCAGCTCATCCTCCCGGTACCGAGGTCCACCGTCCCACCTGTGGGCATCGGCCTGCTCGCCTCGTCCTCGCTCTTCTCGTCTGCTTGTCCTTCGCTCAGCGCCGTCGTCTTCCCCCTCCACTCGCTCTTCGGCAGCAGCTCCACCACCACCACGTCGCCGTGCACGGCTCGGTTCCGGTTCTTGCCGCCGAACACCAACACGCCGGAGCTCAGGTCTGCGGTGGACGGAGGGCAGACGTGGTTTAATATGATGCTGATGCTTCTGTCTCTTGGTTTGGATCCTGCTGCTGTCTGATGAACTCAGAGGAAATAATCCTGAACAACAACTTCAGCTCCTGATAACGTCTTTTAGAAACAGATAAAAACCCAGATCACATGAATTAGTGGAGAGTTTCATTAGTCGTTAAGCTGTGTTGTAGCACAAAGTAAGAGAGAAGAGGTGTGACGTGAGTGTGTTTGGAACGGAAACGTGATGTTCTGGGACGGAAACGTGATGTTCTGGGACGATGGTTGGGTTGAAATGTGGTAACTCAAGCCACCGAGTCGATGAGTTCATGTGTGAGGAGCTCAGGTGGAAGACATGAAACCAACATGTTTGGTTGCCATCAAAGTACCAGAAAGGAGTTCAGGTGTGAAAGGTGCTTTGGTAGATTAGATTTCTAGCTGCCCGGTGTCGGTTCTGTACCTGCGTTCTTGGTGGACAAACCCTCCGTCATGATGGAGGCTTCGTTCTGCGCTCGGTGTTTGCTCACGTTCAGGGTGCCCTGATGGAAATAAAACACACGACCAGTCTGTTAGCAAGAAAAAAAGGTCTTTGGGAGGTTCAGGTACATTTAAGTCTCTTTAAAACTTCCTGCATCACTGAGCATGCTCACAGCACTGGAGTCTTCCTGTCTCTATTACCGTAAATTCTGGACTATTGAGGCACCTGAATATTAGCTCCACCCACTGACTCTAAACAGGAAACCAGGTGTGTTCATATACAGGCTGCTCTGGTCTCTAAGCTGCAGGTGTCCACGTTGGAACATGAGATATTTACACAGAAAGATGTTTTTAAACTTTTAATTAAATGCGTAGTGTCGGAGCTGAACAGCCTCAGAATCACTTCCTCAGTCTCTCTGTCGTCGTCGCTCTCAGCGTCACTTTGGTCTCGAGGTGAATTCGCAAACCTCGTAAAACTCATAAAAATCCATAAATTAGCCGCGTCTTGTTTAAGCTGCAGCGTTTGAAGCGTGAGAAAAAAGTCGTGACTTATAGTCTGGACATTACGGTAATACAAATACTACATGTAATACTTGTTGAATTAAAGTCGGACTCTCTGGTGGCACCTTGTGAGGTAAAGTCAGAACGCTGTCCTGCTCTCGAGACACATTTCACTACTTCTATGTTTTAACCTCACAGCTGTTTATGTAAAGACTTAACACACTTTAAACGCACTGTTAGCTGGTTCTATAACTTTTGGTTGAAGAGGAACATCCAACCCACCAACTCCTGCTGGTTGAACATGACTCCATCACGCTGCTTTCTCACCTGGATGTAGCGTCCAGACTTGATCCCGGCCTCCAGGACTTCAGCAGGTAGATGTTCGGTGAACTCCTTCTCAGAGTCTTCTCCCTCCTTCTCCTGGAGAACCTGAGAGATGGAGCTGTACAGCTCATGAGCCGCCTTCAGGTCCGGCCAGAAGCTCTGCAAATACTCCTGGAAGGAAAGAACACGTGGCAGAAGAAAAGTAAGAAGCAGTCAAACGGATTATACAGGTCAGGGTCTCACATTAAATGTTAGTTAATTCTATTCATATTAAGGGTTCCAGGTTGTAACTAATCAGGGTCTCAGTCTTCATCAAACTGGCTTTTGTCCAATATGACATAAACTTTGTTCAAAATAACTCCTTATTTGTCCAAAACTGCAAAAACGTGATCAAACAGACTCAGAATTTGTCCAGAATTTCTCGCTATTTGGTCAAAATTGTGCAAAAGAATTGTTAACAATGAACCAGAATGTCAAAAAATATATAAATACCAAATCTAGATTGATCAAAACAACTCGTGAGATAAGACGAGATTAGATTTCCACAATAACAAAGACAGTGTTTATGATTTAATTAACCTCTAAATGACTTTAATAAGCATGCATCTTATGTCTTATATTAAAATTCTCTCTATATATATATTTTAAATACATGTTTTCCTGTTTATTTTATTACATTTCTAAAACAACCTGAATTTGCTGCAGAATGTTTCTTCCTGAGATGCATGCTGGGAGCTGTAGTCTCGTCCTATTTCTGTTTGTTTCTAATCATTTTTATTGATATTCTCTCACACAGGTGTTGGTCTTATTGAAGTCCAGCGGTGCTCCAGCTGCCAGTCAGAGAACTTTTACTTCCATTTCCATCTAAAATAACTCCCTCAGCTTTAAACCTGCAGCCAAAAAGCTTGGACCTGATCCTTTATTGCTCCTTAGTTTCTATGAAAACATCTTCGGCTGCAGCATCCTCACGTCATGAAGCAGCTGCTGAGGACACGACACCGTCTCAGACTGAGCTACCATGCAGATGTATGTGTGAACACTTCTACTCAGAACCAGCAGTCTCCGCCGTAGCCTCCCGTCTCAGCGCTCCACTGAGTCACGCCGGCGCCACTTAATCAAAACCCTCGACTCCGGCCGTAAAACTTTTACTTTCTGACCGTTTTTTTTCCTTTTTTTCTTGCTTTTCTTTCTTCCTAAAGAATATTAGCTGTCGGGCGGCTCAGCGGAGCGAAGTGGGAGAAGCAGAACGTGGCGATGCAAGATAACGAGGCTGGAAAAATAATATCACCTCCTAAATAATCCACATCGGCCGCCGCAGAAACCAGAGGCAGGATCCAAGGAGGAAACACACTCGCACATTAAACGGATGCTAATTGAATCCGGCGGCGCTCCTCTGCTGATTGATCGTTTGCCTCCTCGTCGTAACACACCTGCTCCGTGATTATTTAACTATGGTGGAGGCCTATCAGTGATTATAATACAGAGGTAATAACGTCAGCTAATGTGAGGACCGGCTTGGAAACAAACAGGGAAATGATCTCCAGTTTACAGAGGAAACGTACTTGTTGGTAGCTGTGTGTAGTTTAGAGGACTACTAGCTTATATAGACCCCCTGTGGTCCAATTAATACGCCAACATTTAGTCCAAAACCTGGAACCTTGTCTGGTCCAACTTCATCACATCAGGTTCTGCTTTTTGTTTTTGCTCCTATCACATTTTTATTTTACTTATTTTGGACAAGTTCAGTTCACTGGTGACAAATCATGAGTCGCTTTAGACAAAATCTGAGTGATTCTGGAAAGATTTTGTTGTTTTGGACACATTCTGAGTCATTTAAGGAAAGTTTTTATTCACAATATGGACCAAATTTAAATCACTTTGCATAATTTTTTAGTTATTTTGGACAAATTTGCCAACAGACTCGAGTTGTGAATTTGAGTTGTACAGTTTGTACAGTTTCTAAACACACTTTTTGTGCTCATTTTATAACACTTGTTATATTTACAGTGCTGCTAAGTAAACTTTAGAGTTACTTTGGACAATTTTTACCCAGTTTTAGACAAGATTAGTTCATTTTAATATCACTCGAGCAATTCTGGACACATTATGAATCATTTTTCACACATTTTTAATCATTTTAGACAAGTTTCTGTTATTTTGGACAAAATTTACTCCGTTTCAGACAAATTTTCTTTAATTTCTAACAATTTTTGAGTCACTTGCACATTTTTTTCCTGTAATCTTGCACAAATTTGTTTGTTTTCTCCAACATTCATGTGAGTATTACAGCCATTTTGACCCCAGCAGTTGAACTTTTAAAGAACTGTGGACCTTCACATTTCTATGCGTGCAGGATTATTAGAACTAAAACGTTCATCCCACCTGAACTCGACACGACTGAAAGCTCTCGAGCTCTGAATTCACCTTTTGGAAAGCGTTTCAAAAAGCCATCCTGCAACTCTTCTTCTATTGTTTTGGCTCCGCGCTGCAACACGGCGGCTTTAACAGGAAACAATGGCTGCAGCTAAAGCGCTGACGTTCACCTTTAAAGGTGTTCACGCTGCCGGCGAACGATGCAGCAGGGTCGGTGTCGGTTCAGACAGAAACATTCTGCTGCACTGATTTAGTTCACAGTTTGTTATTTAAAACAATGAATCCCTTTATGATCCCATCCAGCTCCGACCGCCATGATGAGGAGGAGAAAACACAAAGTGAACATTCAGACCAACAGAGGCACTGAATCAGGTTCTGAAAATATCCTTTCTGCAAATAAATGAAATGTAAATCTGCTGAGGAATGAGGACTCCATCTGTTATTGTCTGTTGCTGCTTTCAGCGCCGCGTTGATCTCCTGCTTCACTTGTTTTGCTGCCATGACGAGTTTAAATAAACATGAGATTTATTGTGTTGAATCATAATCAGCTTCTGTGTCCAGTGTTCATCTGCAGCATCTGGATGAGAGCATTAAGGCAAAACACGCCTCAAAATGTCATGGAACGTGGACAGGAACAGGACCCGAGCTGATGCCAGTGTTGTGGAGATCATGAAGCGTCACTAAGACCTGGTCATGGTGCCCCCCACCGCCGACATGGGGCAGCTTGGAACTCATATGAACCAACATCTAGAACCTGTGAACATCAGTTTCTGGTTCCTACCAATGACAAACATTTAATCTAAATATCTATTATCTGGGTCCCCACATCAGGTTCTACTGATGTTAGAGCCTCAACAGTTGATGTGACCAGAGACTGGATTCTAGTAGAACCATGGATCCATCCATAGACAGACACTGACAAGAACTTTATGGGGACACAACATCAGCCTGGATTTAAAAATTGTCACTATTTTTTTTTTTCAACCATTTTCAAGAGCACTCTGTTTTCTCTGTGAGATGCATTCAATCATCTGGATCTGATGGAAACTATTCTGTCTGTTTTCTCACCACAGTTCATGGCTGGTGGAGGCACATTTCTGGAGATACTGAACCCTTAAAAATGGCTTCACAGGTGAGGGATCTGAAAACACATGAAATCCTCAAAACTTCACCAAAATCTTTTAGTTCCGGGTCCCAAATAACAAATACAGAAACTGTAAGGGAGATTTGAGTGAAATGACTCCACATCAAGCCGCACGTCGGCACTTCCTCGTAGCCAGAATGACTAACAATAAAGCCTCGCTGCCTGAAGACGTGATGCTAAACCTGTAGACAGGTGAGAGGCGTACCTGTACGGAGATGACGAACACTCCCGAGTTGAGGCTGCTGTATCGGGCCACGGCGTCCTGGTCCTCCGTGATCATCACGATGTTCATCACACCTGCCAGGTGGTTGTAGTACCACACGGCGGCCGAGTACACACACCTGCACAGACACACACCGTTAACTCACAGCTGGCAGACAGACTGCCTGGTAAAAAAAAAAAGACTTTAATATTTTGCATTGAGTCTGGTGCATAAATGAATCACAATACCTGTAACTCAAACGATGCTTCCGCACTATAAATAAATAATTTTAATCTTCTTTATTTACCGTCCTGTTTATGCAACAAACACACTTCATCGGAGCAGACGGCACCTCCAGGCTGCTCCTTAAAACTCAACTAAAAACTCACATCCTCAACCAGCCAGGAACAAAAGCTAAACGGTAAGCGCTGCTGATTACTTCCTTCTAAATACACCAGAGGTAAAGCTGAGCTGATGTCTGAACCTTTTTATCTTTCTAACATGAAGATCTTTAAAACAACAGAGCAGCTAAACGAATGAGTTGGAATAAGCTTTGCTGAGTAAAAATTACAACAAAACAACTCTTAAAACAGCTTTTCATGGATTCTGGAGAGTTTTGTTCAAAAACAAAAACACACACGAGTGTCCAGGATTTGTCCGTTTGCATTTTTAAAGGCCTCCATCAAACCAACGTTTGGCAGAGCAAGGCAGCGCTATCTTATTATAAACGGGGGAAGGAAAAGTTCCACGTTGGAGCTTTTTGTGCTCAGCTCGGCAGCAGAGGTTTGTTCTGCTGTTCGGGGCGTTCCAGGTAGACAACAGGTATAATTAATGACGTCTAGAATCACGCCAAGGCCTCCTTTTTTCCTACTTTCTTTCTTTGTTGCTCTGCCGGCGCTACAGCTGACGTGGAGGAAAAAACTTCAGGCCTTCAGACTCTGAGGCCACTTTAAATGTTTGATTGGCGTCTCGGCCAGCGGGGGGCTCTAAGTGCCGTATGCTGGCACACCGGCAGTCAGATGAAATGAATTCATGGTTCAAACTTTCATCTCAAACCTGCAGAAGGAATCGCAGGGGGAGGCTTCTTTTTTTGGTGCACATGGAAACTGAACTCTGTAGGTTCAGAAATGCTGGAACACATTGGAAAAGAAGCTCGATTTATCGAGAAGTTGGAGGCCGGAAGAAGAAGAAGAAGAAGAATCCAGTGTGTGGCGGCAAAATCACCACAAGAAAGCGTTTTTGTTGTTTGGTGTTTGCACAAGTTATTCAGTGAAGTTTCGGTTCTGTTAAGTTTGAATGGAGCTAGCGGCTAGCTGCTTCCATCTGGTTGGTGGCTGTCATTATGCTAAGCTAAGCTAACCATCTGCTGGCTCCAGCTACAGACAGGAAAGGGCTCACGAAGAGCTGAAAAAGATGGAAGAAGAAGAATAGGAGGAGAGAGAAAGGAAAGTAAAAGAAGAAAGAAAATGAGGAGATGAAGAGCAAGAAGAGGGAAAAGAAGGAAGAAGAAGACATTTGGAACAAGAGGAAGGAGATGAAGAGTGAGATAGTCAGGAAGAAGCAGCAGAAGAAGGAGGAGATGAAGAAGACAACAAACAGGAAGATAGGAAGGAGAATAAGGAAAAGAAGAGGATGAAAAGGAAGGAGAACAAGACGACATTAAGAAGAAGATGGAGAAGAATGAGGAGAAGAAGAAGAAAAGAAGAGGAAGAAGGAGAAGATGAAGGAGAAGATGAAGAAGAGGAAAAAAGGAAGAAGGGAAGAAGACAACGCTAGGAAGCAGAAGAAGACAATGGGAAGTAGAAGGAGATGAAGATTGAGATAGATAGGAAGAAGGAGCAGCAGAAGAAGAAGGTGATAAAGAACAGTAAGATAGGAAGGAGAATAAGGAAAAGAAGAGGAAGAAAAAGGAGAAGATCAAGAAGAGGAAAAAGATGGAAGTAGGAGAACAAGACGACGTTAAGAAGAAGATGGAGAAGAATGAGGAGAAGAAGAAGAAAAGAAGAGGAAGAAGGAGAAGATGAAGGAGAAGATGAAGAAGAGGAAAAAAGGAAGAAGGGAAGAAGACAACGCTAGGAAGCAGAAGAAGACAATGGGAAGTAGAAGGAGATGAAGATTGAGATAGATAGGAAGAAGGAGCAGCAGAAGAAGAAGGAAAGGAACGAGGAGAAGAAGAAGAAAATAAAAAGGAAAGACAAGAAAAGAAGAGGAAGAAGGATCAGAAGAAGAAGATGAAGAGGAAAAACGGAGGAAGGGGAAGAAGACGATGTCAGGAAGAAGAAGAAGAAGTTCATTCAGGTTCTGGACAGACCAAAGAGCCAGTGAGAGGAAGGCCGACCCTGCTGGTCTGGTTCTGATCGGACCTGTAGAACTTCACAGAGGCACTGACCTGGTCATCCACTGGTCCTGGGTCTCGCCCTTCTCCCGAGGACAGTACGAGTACTCCTGGAACTCGTTGGCAAACAGCACACAGTCGTGTCGAGGGTCTTTGACGAGGCTCCGCAGCCGGTTGTAATACCTGCAGACACAGAGCGCTCCATAAACCAAACAGGAAATACAATCACTCACTTCCTGTCTGGTCAGAACTACACGACTCGTCTCCAAACCAGTGAGTCAACACGTGTCCAAAATAAACAACTTGTTCAGGATGACTTAGCGTTAGATGGCTGTTGGTAAAGAGTGAGTCAGAGCGTCACCCAACATGTTGAACTCCTCCTTTAACATCTAAGAAACAATCAGAGCTGTGAGCAGGAAGCCTGAACTCTGAGCAGCGACCAGCCGCTAAATAATGTTTACATAAACAAGCACATGATGCACTTCACAGCATCTTCTGAACATTATGAGATAATTACAGTTCTATCTAATAAGCTGCAAAGAAACTTAAAGGTCATCACACACTCCTGCTGCGCCAACACACACACACACACACCGACACACACACACAGCCCGGTCCTCATTGAAGTGAATGGAAAACTGCAATTACTGACTCAGTATGGCATCAGCATTATGCTCCAGCAGCCATGTCTACCTCACATTATCAAAAGTGAAGCCTCATCACATTAATGATGCAACATCTGAGAACGGCGGCGTCAGCAGGAATCACAAACAGACTGGAATGAAACCGGGGGTCATGTGGGACTCCTTATTTACAGCGTTCATCAAGTTTGTCAAAAGCTCTCCCGCTGCTCACGCGGGAGACGGAGTCCAAGTCCAGGTCTGGTTCTGCCTCGTCAGCAGGGCTTGGATGTAATGAGGCTGACCCCTGCTCCGGACCAGAGGTGGCCTCAGACCTGAACATCTGAACCAGATATTCTATAATATCTCCCTTCCTGAGTGAGAGCTGGTTCACGGTCCGGTTTGGACACTCGACAGCAAATAAGACGAATATTATGATTGTTAAAGGTGAGATTAAACATTTAAGCCAACCAGTGATGTCTCAGATTATAAGGATACTTTTAGGCAGCGTCCTGTAGATTTAACTCTTTTATTTGAAGCTTCCTGCACCACCTCGTGTAGCGTCCACCTGTAGCTTCACAACAAAACACACTGCATGGAGAGCAAAGCCAGATACATACTACTATCTGTGTATTATCCTCCGTCAAGTCAAGTAAAATGTCTTCATAAAGCACATTTAAAACAACAGAAGTGCTGCAAAATTATAAACAGCAACACAGAAGACATCCAACCCTCAAGTTACAGGTACAAATCTCTCACCTGTAAAAAGACGGCGAGGCCCGCCTGACTTGTTACTGGCAGTTTGGTTGTGTAGCCAGATACTGAGACTTTTCATGTATTAATCTCTCTGCACACGTCTGTGAAACTCAAACAGTTCTGCTATAACAACAGACAAACAAACCAGGAAACAAAGCTGCTAAAAAACTGCCGACTGTGTGAACGCGAGCTAATAGGCTTATCAATATCACGACCTCGGTGGAAGGAGCAATCTAAATAAAGTTTTAATTATGCAAAAGTTGCTTCGATGCACGTTTCAGTTAAATTATCACCGTGCAACACAAATTACAGACGGAGTCCCTGCTCACAGAAACAAGACAAACTGCTTAAAGTTTAAACATTTATGTGAATAAAGGTGTTTTAACGGAGGAGGAATCCAGTGAGCTCACATCCAGGGTGATATTCTGACAGAGAATGAGAGCTGCAGCCTTGGTGGTGCTAAACGGTGTTCAGAACAAATCTGAAAACATCATTCAGACGGATAAGTGGACTTATTGAAAATCTTAAAAAGTGCCGAAGCACAGGGCTCCGGCGCTTTATCGCGTTCTGTTTCAGGATTATAGGGATATATGAAAAGGCCCGCCGAACAATGACGCGGCTTTGAAGCTGCAGCTCTGAAACCTTTCTTCCTCCTCAGAGACCCTCTCAACGGTAAAATATGCACTCTGAGCGCCGCAGGATCCTCCAGGAATGTTGATGCCATGTTCCTGCAGAACCCACTGGTCAGTGGGTGTTTTTTAAGACGCACTGATCTCTTATCTCAAACTCAGGCTGTGTTCCAAATATCTATACCTCTACAACGTATAGTCGGCAGATTGAACACATCCCAACATTCCTGCAGGATCCTCCAGGAATGTTGATGCCGTTCTTTATTTAAGACGCATTGATCTTTTATCTCCAACTTGGGCTGCGTTCCAAATATCTGTACTTCCACACTGTGCAGCACGCCAGAGGAAGATTTAGTCTTTCCCTCAAATGCAGAAAGCCAAAAGACGACAAATCTTTTAAGTCGTGGGCTGCAAGGTGGCTCGGTGGCTGGCACTCAGGGTGAAGGCAGGTTCACCTGGACAGGTAACCAGTCTATCACAGGGCTACACTTAGAGACAGACAACCAAGCACACTCACATTCACACCTACGGACAATTTACAATCACCAATTAACCTCAGCATGTTTCTGGACTGTGGGAGGAAGCCGGAGAACCCGGAGAGAACCCACGCTGCACGGGGAGAACATGGAGACTCCACGCAGGAAGATCCCGGGTGTCCTCACCGGGACGTGAACCGGCGACCTTCTAGCTGTGAGGCCACGCTGCTAACCACCGAGACACCTGCAGCCCAGTTTAAGTTCATATTAATGTGAATGTTAACAGATCTAAACAAGCCGTGAACACTTGGGACAGCTCCGTCCAGTAGAAGCACCTCATGGTCTACAAAAAATATTAAAAACAAAAATCACAATTTCTGATCCATTTCAGTCACAAAATGTGGTTAAACTACAGCGTCGTCTAATCCTCGTCCTCGGGATGAAACTCTGGCTGCCTGGTTGCTAGGCAACAGGAGCTTGTTGTGATGGGTTGGACCGTCTCGTTTAACGCTCAGATCCATCCTTCACGTCCTTCACGTCCTTCTAAGGATGCAGCGTCTGGACTGGGACGCGGCTGCAGACTGTGAAGTTTAAGGCGCGTTTTTACGACAAACTATATGAATCAGTTTGTTCTTGTGAGGGCAGCTGTTAAAGTTAAAATAAGAACCATGGAGGTCAGCATCAGTTACCATGGAGACAAAAGGTGAACCACCGTCACAACTTCCACCTGAAGTTCCCTCGCTAACCTGAACTCCTGCCTCGTGGTGCAGATCTCCACCTCCCCCCAGGTTAACGATCACACTGAGCGGATGCCTACCTGCGTCCTTTGCTCTGTAGCGCCTGGCAGGCCGTCTGAGTGAACACGATGCCCTGCAGCTCTCTGAACTCCAGGATCTCCAGGTAGTCGGCCACCACCTCGGCGTCCGGCACCACGTAGTGGGTCAGATCTCCGGGCAGCACCTTGGCACCTGTGTGGGAGGTTAGCAGGCATTAATCCTGATGTTTCTGGGATTTCTTTTTTTATTTAAACAGTGAAAGATCAACAGTCGAGACTCCTACAGACATGTTTCATTCTTGATCTCTTTGCTGATTTATTCCAGGGTCTAGATTTATTACACTCGGTTCCTTAAACTTCACTAGAGACCCTCCGTCTTCTCAGGAGGTCCGACTGTGTGTTTGTGTGTCCTGCAGCCCTCAGCTTGTCCTGCAGCAGGAGCTGATTGATCTGATCTGACTGCATCCACCTGCGCTGGAGAAGGCTGATCCACCAATCAGGAGCCACCGGGAGGATAGAAGACGCCAGCAGACCAGCGCTCGGCGGCGAGCTGTTTCCAGCCCTGCCTCTTTCTAACTGATGATTGTTGTGCTTCTATGAACTTGTTGAGGCACTAGATCCTGTTTCAGAACCGTACACCCGCCTCAGATCTGCTGTTAGCCTGACTGGTGACTGAGTGCTGATAGGATTGTATTTCTGTTATTAGATCAGATTAGTGAGATCGTTTTTTATGGTAATCCTTAAACTCTAGGTTTAGTCTCCTTTTGTTCTCGTTTGCCTCACTTTTGTTGTTTATTGTTAAACCTTAACTTTTGTTCATAAATTACATCACCACATCAGGGTTTTACTTCCTGTTTCCCTCGCGAGCTGGTCGTAATGATGACTTTACACCTACACGTGGCTGAAGGGTTCATGGAAACAACACCCAAATCACAGGAGCTGCAACTTTCCAACAAAGGTGAAATGCATCATTATTAACATTCAGCATCATACAAACTATGTTCTCCAGACATAAGCGGACGTACTTGTTTGGTACAACCTGCAGCAAAAATCATCATTTATATTTATTCATGTTTCAGTGGAAAAGACACAAAAAAAATATAATTACCACTAAAATCTAGACTTAAATCAAATCCAGCTTATTGTCATTTTGCTGTACATACAACAGCAGTACAAACAAGATGAGAGAGCGTTTCTTCAGGATCCAATAACTAACAGCAGTTTAGATAAACACGTGTTTGCACATCTGGATCAGCAGTTCAGCGTCCTGACAGCTGTTGATCAGTCACATACTGATTTTTTTTTCACATTTATGAGCTTTAATCTTAGATTTAGTTGTTCCAACACCACTAAATTCACCACAACTTTGATAAACTAGGAGTTCAATGCAACAGGTATGACTGTGTGGATGTAATGCAGTGACTCACTCTGCTGCCTTTATTGATCTGATTTATTCTCACTTTAAACACAATAATACATTTCCCGGTTTCATACGAGGTCAGAGAAGTCCTGCCCTCTCTTCTATCACAGCAGATCAATCTTAATATTATTACTACTGAAGAAGAACAGGTTTATATCACCTCAATAAATGAGTAAATTGTGAGAATGTGATTTGCGATCCACACAAAACGTGGCCGATATATCATAAACCCTGAAACATTACAGATCGAGTGTTTCTGACGTGCAGCCCAGATGGTTTTAAAACTGCCTCAGTGTCACAGATTTCACTGATTCAAACGTGCACAGCTTCGATCAATCTCGTGTCCAATAGAGCTAAAGTATACACACAGCGAACATTATCAACAGCAATACAAATGTGTGAGTTTAAATTATTCTTCTGCGTCTCGTTTTTCTCATCCAGCGCCTCTGCAGGGCCGAGAAATCAATCGATCTCAAATCGAATTTTGAAAGCGTGCAATTAGAAAAATCGCAAAGGCTGCAGCTTCAGATGAACGAGACGCAGCAGGTCTGACGCACCGTCTGTTTTTATGACTTTAACTTCTCTGCAGAACGTTTGATGCTTCAAATATCGCTGCTTCTGAGACTGAATGACTGAAACGTCCTGTTACTGACTGGAAATACTCAGCTTTCTATCATAACTCCTTCATTTATTTACCTCCACACAGCTTTTGTGATTATTGTTCTAACTTCTGTGGCATTAAAAAAATAAATACATGTTAGAAGTAGTTTATTTCTTTAGGTTTTCATCCTATAATATAGAGCAGTTGGTATTTTAAAGGTGTCTCGTGTAGCAGCGACTGCAGCTCTACATGTTGTATGAATATCTGCAGCTTTCAGGTCGTTTTATTTTGCTTTAGACAGCAGTCAGATCTCAGAACTGACAAATCTTTTCATACAAGTACCCTCTGATACATGAATACAAACAAAATCTGTGATATTACGACAATAAAAATGAAATCAGAGGCGTAAAGAAAAGTAGAAACGAGCAGAAAGACACGTTAGAGTGAAGAGACTTTAACGGGATGTCGACACTTATAATAAGAAAAACAACCACCACCTGCTTTATAGGAACTTAAATCACATTTTATATAACTTCAGACTTAAAAACACACTGCAGCTCGGTGTCTTGTGGAGGCAGCAGATTTAATCTGATTATTATTTATTTGGTTTATTATGTTACTCATAGGACTTAATGAACTATTTTTTTCTCCTCAGCAGCACCTGCATCCCTCCTCCTGGAGTATTTAAAACCCAGATTGCTATTAAATAAACTCATTTTTCAAACTTAAAATGATCATTAATAACCTGTAGGATGGACCACGATACTCCAGATGGGAAATAAAACTTGTCCATCTTCTCAAACGTTTTGGAAACGAGGCACAAACTCATGGAGAGAACACAGACTTAACGTAGGATGAATTTTGCAGAGAAAAGCTTTTATATTTCCATTTCACACAGAAATAACCTTAAAAATTCAGCAATCATGAGGTTAAAAGCTACAGATTTATTGGTTTTTCTGGAATATAACTACAGAACTGAAGGTTTTGAAGGACATTTCTTCAGACACCTCCAGTCCTCCCAGAGTCCAGCCCGGCTGACAGATGTGCCTTCACAGCTAGCCGCAGCTGGTTAACCAGGTTCACCAGCTAGTTAGGTTAACCTACTGCCTGGTGCTAATCTGCGCAGAGACCTGCGGTGTGTCATCCGTCAGACGGTAACCGTGTGTTGGTGTGTGTCCAGCGGCTCACCGTTGTCACAGTCCGCCTGGCACAGCGCGCTGCAGCAGGGCACCCGCTCCCGGAGGTAGTGCTCCCGGACGACCCGCACCGTCCGGCCGCGGCAGCTCCTCAGGTGCAGCGTCTTCTCCGTCTTTATCATCCTCACCGGCCGGTCCACGTCCAGCGGGGACTCCTGACTCAACCAGAGAACCAGCCGCCGTTAGTGAACCCACTGTCCGCTCAGGACGCGGGAAGAAGACACGCACATAAACAATCCTTCAACTTCACGGAAGCACGTACGGAAATAAACCCCGCTGACGTCATGACGTCGTCCCCTTGCTGCGTTCACGTGCCATGGGACGTAATTAGATTAATATGCTTAAGAATGCTTTAAAAACGGGAGATAGCGGAATATTTATTCAGTTTTTAGTAAAGTAAACAACCTTCAGTGTCTGAAAACCAAACTAATAATATCATTCTTAGAATCCTATAAAGAAATATCCGTCCATAGAAGGATTAAAATATAAATTACCTGGTTTCCCAAATTGCCCAATATTTCAGTTAATCTCAGGTTGTTTCAGCTCCGTAATGAGAATTCAGCATGATTCAGTTGTTCTGGCAATTTAACGTGGGAAACTAATCTCAGGCTTAGAGTGGGGATCGACTCCAGCACCCCGCGGCCCGAGTGAGGATTAAGCAGTGTATAGATAATGGATGGATGGATGGATGAATTAAGCCTGGATTATTTGGTATTATCAATGGAACAGGCTGGTCCAGGGAAGGCTAACTATAAGGTTAAATGTCAGCCTAACTGGGCGTCTCTACAGCTCACCTCGCTGAGCAGGCGACCCATGACCAGGAGCTGTAGTTCCCCAACGCAGCAATCGTGGGTTCGACTCCCGCTCATGATCCTTTGGTGCAGGTCTCTCCCCGTTCTTCTCCCCCATTTCCTGTCTATCTCTACTGCTCTAAATAAAGGCACAAAAGCCCTAAAATATCTTAAAAACAAAATGTCAAACTAACTGTCTGACAGTCAGGCTAACTGTTATAGGGTTGGGCTAACTGTAAGACTGTCAGGCTAACCATCAGGCTAACTGTCAGACTAATTAGTCTGACAGTTAGCCTAACATTTTGACAGATTATTAATAATCTGTCAAAATGTTAGGCTAACTGTCAGATTAACTATTCGGCTAACTGTAAGACTATCAGGCTAATTTTCAGAGTAACTGTCAGACTGTGAGGCTAACCATCAGTCTTTTAGGCTAGCTGTTGGGCTTACTGTCAGGCTAATGGTCAGGGTAGCTGTTAGACTGTTGGGCTGACTGTCAGCATAACTTTAGACTTTTAGGCTAATTATTGTGCTAACTGTAAGGCTAACTGTCAGGCTAGCTATCTCTGTTGGTGAAGGTCAGAAAAATGCATACAGCTATTATCAATAAATGTATTATTAAAGTTTATTTATAAATCATTTATCAGTTATATTCAACTTCTTTGCTACTTCTCTTCAGTCCATCGGCAGTTTCTTTCTGCCTTTTTCTCTGGATTTATCTGGCAGCTGTACCTGTGTTGGTTATTAGTAGTTTAAAAAAAAAAGAAAGTTTAAGAGTTAATTAAAAGCTCGAAAAAAAAAAACTTCTGCCTTGTGGTTATGAAGTTAAAAATGTATAAATTAACTCAGATCAAGAATTTCCCATAAAATCCAAGATGGCGCTCCTCAGTGGTGTTTGGCTAATAGCTGCTAATACAAGCTAACTGTATGCTAGCTATCAATACAAAACGGCAGACAGCAAGAAAGGAAGTTTAGTATGTTTACTGGTGTGTTGTGTCCTTGGCTGGTGGTCCCAGTGAAGGTAACAGTGCTGGTGAGTAACTTTACCAGACTTTTACTCAACATGCCACCGAAATGTTGTCTGTTGAGCGCAAGCTATTTATTTATTTTTTGCTAGCATGCAAACTTCTTAATCAAAATTAGCATTAGCGTGTTTTCCCGTCCTACTCCTCACCGGCGTTATTTTCAGGCATCGAGAGTAACATATGTAGTTGTTGTCAATTTTTTCTATACATAGTATATTGTAGTTGAACTAAAAAACGCCAGATTTTAGTGGAAAAACGCAAAATGTCGAGTTGATTTCGTGAGTGTTTGCTCTAGAAGCGAAGTCGCCGGTAGCGGGGGTTGCTGCTCTCGCCGCCGCCGCTGCTCTTTGGCTGCGCTGTGGAGAGCCGCTGCAGCAGCGCAGCAGCAGCAGAGACCAAGTTGAGCAACTGCGCCGACAACACGGATGCTGAGGACTTTACTCACGTTTCCACATCGGCATCTTTCGCCAAAATGTACATTTTTTACACAGTTTTTTCCCAGGCTTCTCTTGTAATTGAGCATTTATTTGCAGGCGAGCCACGAGAATGAACTTTATTTAGGACGCATCGCTGCAGCAGGTAAGATCTGCTTTTATTTACTTGTTTCACACGCACAAGAATTCAGTTAAAGACGTGAGGATGCAACGAGAAATTACAATAACGTGAAAGAGGGAGCTTTTAACGACACTTTGCGCTCACATGGGTTGTTTTTACATATATAGAGTTTAAAATTCTTATTGCAATGTTCTTCTGAACACGTATGTAATGAGGATTTGAAGTTGATGGTAGGATGCAGTTACAAGACTTTGCGGACTGCAGTGTGCAATTTGCATTATCTATCCATCTGTATTCAGATTTTTATTTTTGAATGTTATTTTTACTTTAAATATTCTGCATGCATTACAAAAAAAACGCTCCACAGGGGTTTGAAGTGAACAAGCAGTATTTTAAATGAGTGCAAGCAAACATTATTGCTTTTTAAATTAAGAGTTTCTCTCTAATTATCCTGCTGCTGCTGCTCTAATTGGCATTATCGTTGCCGGCTGTGTCTGAGGTCCACTTTGAGGCTGGATTTTCTGGAAACTTTCTCCAGTAACTCGTCTTTCTGACACTGTTTGCTGTCGTGACTTTGAGCTTCATCCTGCTTCTCTGGATCTCGGCTCGTCTTCACTTTTTGCAGAATGTGCTGGTTTTTGTTCCAGGCGTCTCACTGGGATCTAGTCGACCTTGGCCGACGGGTGAATGTAATTAACTGTAATCAAGTATGTGCCGGGCCAGATAAAGTGGACCTGCACTGAGCTGCTGCTGCTGCTGCTGGATGCTGGGAGGTTCTGTTCTGGCCCGGCAGACGGAGGTCCGGTGATGATGGAGCTGTTTGGCTGTAATTAGCTGCTGATTATTGCTGCTGTAGTATTTCATTGATTCATCCTGAAGCTTCACAGTAGCCGTGTGTGGGCAGCAGGTGGCGCTCCTGAGCAGGACTCCGTGGTGTGACCAGCAGAAGGTTTCAGGTCCAGGCTGTGGTGATCAGATGAAGGAAGCTGGGGTTAATGTGAGCAGCTGGCAGCACCTTCCTCCACTCTGGCTTCGTTTCTGTTGTGTTTCCTCCTGAAGTGGCTCCATTTACTGCAGCAGCCGCTCTGCCATATCTCACCCAGACATTTGTCACAAATGTGCCCTTGCAATAATAGTAATGCAGCTTTTGATGACTCCTGAGCTCTTACTTTAATTAAATGTGTTTTACTTTTTAAGACGGCGCTGAGAGCCGCCGGAGGTTCAACAGTTCACAGAAGACTGATGTCAGGAGCACAAGTTGCTCTGAGGGAACAGACGGGAGGTTTTCTGGCTGAAACCGATGCTGCTGATCCTGTAGTGATCAGATAGATGGACGACCGATAGCTGGAGCTGATATATCTGCTGTAGAAATACACATCCTGGTGCCGTAATTAACAATAACACAAACTACTCACTGTAAAAATGTAAAGCTTTAACAGTTTCTCACTATATTCTTGGTAATTCTGTGCCTCTGCTGCTGCAAAAAAAGAAAATGTTCAGTTTTTAAAGTTTTTAACTCAATTTACGATTATTTTACACATTTTTAAATTACAGATAATAATTAATAAAGTCACAGAAAAAAGTATTAGCTCACAGGTTAACCATAAAAAAATGTCCAAAACTGTTCTTTTACAACGTTTGACCATAAAATGACATTTTAAAAAAAAATAAATGAAAAAAAATCATTTTACAGATATTTGTGATATTTAAAAGAAAAATTAGATATTTCTTTAAATGTTTATTTATAGATTTCCTGTTTAGTTAAATCACAAAAATACTATTAATTTACATGTTGACCATAAAAAATGTCCAAAACTGTAAATAATGTCCACTGTTTTCATTATTAGTAGTTTGTTCTTATACAACGTTTGACTAGAAAATTACATTTAAAAAAATTAAATAAGCAAAATTCTGATAGTTTTATTTGTGTGTGTAGATGAAGGATTGAAAAGTGATGAATAATTTCTTGTTGTTGTTTTACAGGTTTTTGTTTTGTTAAATTAGAGAAAATAGAGAATAAAACGACAGAAAAAAGTATTAATTTACATAAAACTGTACATAATGTCCACCTCAGAAATGTGTATTTTTACAAAGAGTAACTTGAACATAAACTTCAGATCATTTGGACTGAAAGTCGTTCCCACTGATCGTAAATAGTCGTTGATTTATGTGATAGTTGATAAATAATCAGTCAATTGTTGGAACTCTGGTGGTTCATGAATAAAAAAGTGACAAACAGTTGATTAACTAATACGTTTATTGACAAAAATAAACAAATAATGAGAAATCTGAGATATTTTTAACAAAAACGACTCAAACCGATGAATCGATGATGAGAATAGTCGGTGATTAATCTCCCAGCTGACGGCCGATCGATCAATCGCTGCAGCTCTGCTTCTCCTGCTGATGATTGTGTGGCTGCACCAACGGGACCCATTGATTTGTGTATCTGTGTGTTTGTGTGTCTGTGTGTTTGTGTGTCTGTGTGTTTGTGTGTTTGTGTGTTTGTGTGTTTGTGTGTCTGTGTGTTTGTGTGTCTGTATCTTTGTGTGTCTGTGTATCTGTGTGTCTTTGTGTGTCTGTATCGTTGTGTGTCCGTGCAGTCTCTTTGTCGTCCCTGCACTCTGCTGCCGTCCTGATTCATCCTTTCAGCTCTCAACATAATTCCAGTCACTGTTTAAAGAACAACCGGCTGCTGAGGGCAGAGCGCTCAAGTGTGTCGCCGGCAGGAAACGGTTCCCGAGGCCGGCCCGGCCCACAGCGCACACCGAGGCGCCGCCGTCACCGAGC